TCTCCAAGCCCAGGAGCTCCTTGGAGATGTCCTTGTATCCACAGTGAGAGTAGTCAAACTCGGCTTCAGCCACGTGTGTGTTGACCCTCTCATGGTAGATCATAGACTTGCCCTTGAAGGAGCTATCGAAGCTGAGCTTGGTGACTCTGGCCAGCTGACACCAGGCCACTGCACCCAGGCAGCCATACATGAGGATGGAGAGGAGGAGGCATTTCCAGTGGGACTCTCGGCACATGCAAGCGCTCAGGGACTGTTTCACGGGGCGTTGCTTCAATCACACCGCCGTGCAAGGGGAGAGAAAGACAAAGAGAGAGCGAGGAACCCGTCAGTCACGCTGCTTTGCACAACACACACAGTGGCTGCTGCCATCAAGGCTGTGTCTGGCTTTTCTCTTGACTGCCTGAGAACTGGGACACCACCCTACTTAATATAAATGTCAATATAAACAGAAACACCCTGCCAGGGACAGAGGCCTGTGGACAAAGCTCTTTTCTTGCTTCCTTCTGGCTCTGGGGAGGGAAGCTGTTTGTGCAGCAGTGACTCACTGGGCCCACCCCCTGGTCAGATGGGCACCTCTGCAGGGAGCAAGACAGGTCCCCCCATCTCCTTCTCCCTGCCTGCCACCAGTATCATTTACACACCCTGCCATCTTCAGAGGCTGCGAGTGCTGAGCTGGTGAACCAAAAGTGTGGGGCTGTGGAATTGGCCCTTTGCTTTGTGAGTGCCCCATGCGTTAAGTTCCCACATGCTGCTGTTGGGGAGGCCCAGGAGCAGCGCCTGTCGCAGAGCTGCGGCCCCACAGGTTGTGCCAGCACAGGAGGACCAGCACTTCACGCAGCTAAAGCTGCTGCCTGACTCAGAGCTGACTCACATCCAGCCCTGAAACCTACCAAATGATCGACACCATTTTCTTGGAGATGAGCCATCAGGAAAATGACTAGATTCAAGCACATTTAGTTGAAAAAATTGTCAAGATTACAGCACGATGCAGCATTGCTTCAGGCTGGTTACACCAGCTCTGACCTAAAATACTTGAAAGCTTCAGTGTTGGAGCTAAGGGTGTATGCGTGAATATTTAAAACAGCACACTCCCCTCTTTCTTTCAAGTCCCAAAAGTCAGGCTGGGAGCAGAGCTGGGTTCACACTCCTGTACTCCCACTTCATCCCCTGAGAGGGCACGATTGCAGTCCTTACTCCAGCCCTGGTGCAGTGAATCAGCTGCATTGTCATGCAATGTTCAGCTATAAGGAAAAATGCCAAATGGAGCCAAGCAGCTAGCGGAAACAGAGTTGTGTCCCTGCAAAGAGCAGTGGCAGCATGAGTTACACCACTGGCTGGCAGCTGTCTGTCTGTAGAGAGTGCATGAAGAAAGATCCCCACTGCCCTAGTAGGTAATGAGGAGGGCTGTTTGCATCCCTTTTGTTACTGCCATCCTCTGCCTCTCTCCTAACCAAGGAAATGACAGTGAGAAAGCAGATACACACTGATACTCATGCATCATCATGCCCTCTGCTGAGCCTGATTTCATGCAAAAATAGAAGCACGCTGTTACTCCTTCTCCCAAGGGCCCATCTCTAATGCATCAAACTACTCTGTAGATGCCAACAGATGCTAGGTTCAGGAAATGAACCTTTCTTTCTCCACAGATAAATTTCTCCCCCAGTAAAGCTTATCTTGGACCTACAGCAGTTAGGATTCAGTAAGTGATCTTGAACCAGCAAGGAATTTAAGAAGCAGCATCTTGTAACTCAGGAAATAATAGCATGGCGCCACTGAAAAGAGGAGTTTGCTGTCTTCTCAATAAGATGGAAGCATTTGGCGTCTAACTTTGAAAGGCTATAGGGTCAGATTAATACTGCTTAGCTTTTTTTTTTTTTTTCCCCTGGGAGAGAGAACCACTTCTAAGTAATCATAGAGGATTTTATGACTTGCTGTGAACACTGAAAAACTAGATTTCATGGGTTTTGGTTTTGATTTCATAGCTTTTAATTTAACACCGTGTAAGCGCAGAGTAATTTTATTGATTTTAAGTGGTTATACCAATACACACTTGGACTTAGGACAGAATCTGGCCCCTGATCCTTCCTGATGCATCCAGAAGGAATCTGTAAAAAAATTTATATTCTTGTCCCAAAACATTTGTACATGTGTCAGAATAAAGTATAATTATCCTGGGCTGTATTTTGGCTTCTTTATTCTCTTTACAGCAGCTGAAACAGATGTAGAGAAGCTAAGCGGGTTATAAAGTACAGGGCACATAACTTTTGTAGGTAGGGCAGTGAAAAAAAAACCTCAGTATAGGTAAGAATAAGGCTGTTTTTCTTAGCCTTTTGCAGGAAACTTAGAGGAAAACCACCAGGTGGCTTCAGGCAGTCCCTACATCAGCTAAAAAGTAACTAGAGAAGTTTTGGGAGTGAATGCCCTCTGTGAAGTCTAGATGCACTCATGGAGAGCATCTCTTTAAACTCTTGCCAAATACCCACTGCTCAGTCTCAGTGTGGTTACTGCCCCAATGTAGGCTTCTGCCCCAGCTGTACCCTGGACCCCAGGTCAGAGCTCCAGCCTCTCCTGATTCATGGGAAACCCACTGGAAATTACTGACTTTTACTCTTTGTCTCTTCTTGACATGAAACTAGAGTTTTTAACTTCTACAGTAATGCAAAAAATATAAACTGTAATGAAGAACTGCAAAGCTCTATCCTTTTTTTTTTTTTTCTCCCCTGAAGGTTTTCTGAGGTGAAGAAAACTTTAAACACTAACATCTCTCCACTACTGAGACTGCAGAAGGAACAGCAGGACAATATCTCAACACATGAATTTTTGCTTTCATTCAGGCTTCTGCAGGTACCTCTCATTTAAAATCGCTTAGGGTTCACACAGTGAACAGTGCCAGTGGACCCACCAAAAAATGTCCAGCAGTCAGTTTTAATGTAAGGTGAGTGCTTAAGGTGTCCACACAGCTCCAGGAACCCCATTTTTTTCTGTGACTTGTTGGAAGCACTGTCAGCCTGGCCCTGGGCACAGCCAGGTGACAAGGCTGTCCCATGCCAGTTAGGGCACTACTAGCCAAAGGCACTGCAATCCCACTTTACCTCACTTACTTTGACTAACAGCTTCTCTGTGGTCCAACCTACAACCCACAGGCTGGCTTCTGCCCAAGGGATGGTTCAACCAGCCCTGCTGCTTAGGGCTATCAGAGGCCATATCAGAGTGGGCAAATACCTCCTAATGTGCTTATCTCCATGAAATGCCATCTCCCCTTTGGGGGATGAGATAGCTCTGGTTCCACCAGTCCTAGAGCAGCACCCAGCTGGGCTGGCAGTAGCTCAGAGATTTGCAGGTCCAAGATGACATTTCTGTAGGCATCCTCTGGAGGCACTTCAAAAATGATCTTCAGCCCACTGCACTGAAAGGGCTGGATCAGCCCAATACAGATTTTCTTCACTGTTCTCACAGCAGCCTGCAAAAAAAGGCAGCTTCTCTCCTCTGCACTAGTGGTGAAGACATGAAACCATAGAGCCCACTGCCACATCTGATTCACACACCTACCAGTCCAGTTCAGCAGGGTCTTCATGTTCAAAACCCTCTGGTAAAAAACACAAGTTCTTTCAGCTGGCTTTTCTGACCCACTGTGTCACTCCTGCTGTTGTTCCCAAGCAAAGCCCAGTCTCTGCAGGTCCTCAGTTATAAAAGGATCCCTCTTCCAGGGTCTACTCCCACAACTGTCCTGCCTGTTTCAAGTTCTGACCATGTTCATCTGGCCTATAACCCCCCATTTCTCCTTCTCTTTGCTGAACTAATTACGTAACACAATTATACTATTAGAAACACTATTAGAATGTTTGTAAGAAAGACATGAAATAGAACATAACTACAATAAAGGTATCAGACATTCAAAACTATAATAAGAAAATATATCTTTTCATCTCTCTCTGCCTAACAAACTCATTAATATGTTAATCCAGTGGCTCCCAGACTTTATTAATTAACATACCACCTTCTTACAAGAATTATGTTTGTGGTACTGTGTGGAATTTTCTCCTTTCCGTGCATAGTGTTTCAGATAGAAACAGGGCAGGCTTGTATTTCTGGATGAGTACAATAAATGCTTAAGGAAAGTAATAATTTCCATGATAACTTGGGATAGCCAGTGAACAGAGTTGCATCCTTTGAGGAATGCTGTGGCATCTGTGTTGTTTTGATGTGGAATAAAAGCATAACCCCTGGAAAATCTTAACAGAAAAACATAATTGAAGAAAGCAATGACATAAAGCCTGACAGAAAGCCAGAGCCCAACAGAGACTAGAATAGATGGAGGCTCAGTTGCCAGGCACTTTGTCTGCAAGCTAGGGCTAAAGGGCTTGGTTCTCTAACCCAAACCAAGAGAGGTCTCCTCCCTCTCCTGCTTGGGGGGGCTTTGATTTGGGCTTTGTTTACAGCATTGACCTGAAAAACATCCTGACAGATTAAATGAGGCACAGGTTCCCCAGAGAAGCTGTGGATGCCCCATCACTGGAAGTGTTCAAGGCCAGGTTGGACAGGCTTTGAGCAACCTGGTCTAGTGCAACATGTCCCTGCCCGTGGAAGCGGGCTGGAACGACAGGAGCTTTGAAGGTCCCTTCCAGCACAAACTGTTCTGTGATTCTACAACCACGTATTGCAAAGCAGAATGTCAAATCAAATGGTTCACCCAAAAGGTCCCAACCTGCTCTGAGGACAGTACAAATTGTAAAAATCTCCTGTTATGGATGGAATGCCATGAAGCAGCACAGCTGAGCTGTCAGTACCATTGTTTATGGTTTTCAGGTTGTGTTAAATACACATGTTATTAATAACATCTTGCTAGTCTCTGGCATGCTGCTGAACTGCTTTCAGAGGCCTCACTTCTCATTGCACCGGTCGGGATTGGAAACTCCTGGTAACTCTCACCGAAACTATCCTTAATCACATGCCAAAATTCACCTAACTCTTCCACACTTAAAAACAGTAACCAAAAAATATTTTCTAAATTCTTTAGCAGATCTCAGCATGAATGAGGAAAATACCATGAGTGAGAGGTGGCATGAGTAGGGAAGGCTATGTGTGTCTGTGTTGTGGACCTTGTGGAGAGTGACAAGGTTTAGGGATAGCCCGTCCTGAGCTGTCCCTGGCCCCAGGCAGTTAGTCAGCTCCACAGGGCAGCTCTGCATTTGATTTTTTTTGGCTCATCATTTCCAGAAGGCTCAGAGAGAGCAAAGGACCTGTGTACCACTCTGTCAGCTCCATATGATTTGTTTGCTGTCTGGTCTTGTGGAGCACTCTGAGAAACTAAAATGATAGATGCTATTTAATTTGTGGCCACAGTCACTGCAAAATAGCCTGGAAATCCCTAACTGCTGATGGAGAACTGGAATTTCGACTGACACCTGTAGGAGACAGGAGTTTCCAGGCTGGCAACATTTCAATTATTTCTCCTTTAAGAAACTCAGCTTGCAAATGATAGAACATCCAGTCAGTGGCTGAAAGGGCAATTGCCTTCAAAGGCACCCTCTGATGGCAGATGCCCAAGATCAAAAGCACGTTTGCAAGGGCTGAGGTGGAACCTTCTTTGCACAGGCACACCCACCCAGCTCCTCCTGGCTCAACAGCAGGCAGGTCAGGTTCTGGCTGCAGCAACCATAATTAAAACCATTCAAACGTGCTCTGTGTTGTAGGAGTGTGCAGATTTGGGCTGTTAATCTTGCCTAGAGTAAAGAGGTGGAGAGAGAGTCGAGGGGGGTGTGCACACCCTGGCACATCCTCTGCTTAACATCTGGAGCTGAGCGTGCTCTGGTGGCAGGAGCAAAGGCCTGGTGCTCAGGGTTTTGGCTGTCTGAGCCATCCCCTGATTCCTCACAAGTGACCAGATTTAGCACACTGGTAGGTAAGTTGTAGCTGGTAACCACCCTAAGTGAGCATGAAAGTGACTGCACAGGGGGTGGCCAAGAATAAAAAAAAAATACTTTCCCTCAAACCCTGACTTTTCCTTAAAAGGCATATTCAAAATGTAAAGAACAACAACAACACATTTCTGGATAAACAAATTGTGTTTATGAATCTAGGTCCCCTTTCTCTTGATGGGTAGATAGAACAAATTAATTCCTCAAGGCAGAAGCCAAGGCAGTCTGGCTACCCCTGCTCTTCCAAAGGAGTTCCCCACTTAGCAGGAGGAGGAAGTGCCACACTCAGAGAAGGCCAGACTGATTCCACCAGCCCAGATTTTTGAATGCTTACCCTGAAACTCTCGTGCCTGTGTTTTGCCCCTGCTGGCTTGCTGCTTTTGCTGGCCTCTGGATACAAGTGTGCCCAATATCAGGACTCACCCACCAGCCATCCACTAGTGGCAGGGATTCCTACCAGAGAATAAACAACCAGATAGTTCTTCAGTCCTTATAGGTAGTCACAGAAACTTCTCCTACTAACTTTGCATGGTTATGCTAGGCCAGGAAGGTTCATCTTATATTAAAACCCAATTTACATTTACACCCATTCTCCAAGTGATGAAGAAATTATTTTATATAACTGCCTTCTCACTCAGAAGAGACTTCTCCATTCTAATTATGACATCTGTCAGCCTTCTTTTTGACAATTCAAAGGAGCCAAAATCTTCAACTCCTTCACTTCACTGTTCTAGCTCTTTCTGGTGCTCTGCTCTCTCTTCAGCACCTTGAGATCCTTCTTAAGTCTGTATCTTACAAGTAAGTAAAGGACTTCAGCACTTATTTCACTGGCATCATACCAAAAAATAAAATCACCTTCCATTCCCACTCATTCCCCCTTTTTACCGTCTTCGAAGATTGCATTAAGAGATTTCTGCCCAGCAACATCCCAGGAATTCATGTTCAACCTCTCACTCACTTGGCTCCCAGGTATTTTTTGAGTCACTCTTTCTGAGGACAGCTGAAAGGTTGGCTGCACTCTCCACCCTGAAATGTGTAACTTCAGATTTGGCTTTGGACTGAGTAACTAAATTATCAAATGAAAGAGATCCCTAAGGAGAATTGTGCTCAGCTCATCATTATAGACCTGCCTGCTACTGTTTGTGCCAACTGTAAATGTTACCAGCAGTGATTTTATGCTTAATTCCAGTGAACAGTGTCAAATCTGGTAATTATTCCTGCAGAACTCTGCCAGTCTAATAGCTAAATACCCCATTAACTTATACAAGACAACTGTTTTCACAAAGCTAAGTGCCAATCACAAAAACAAGGCTGTAAGCATTGTGTGGACACTGAGGTGCTCCTCACATTTCCAGTGTTCACTGCCAGGAATAATTCCATGAGTAGTTCTGCATGCAATAAGAGAAAACCTCCCAAAGCTTCAGCAGAGCACATTATCAACTAGCTTGCTATGTGTGACCTTCATCAGCAGCTGTATTTTACTCCAGAAGAAGCTGTGTAGCAGTGTGGGCTTGAAGCATCTCTCGTTCCAGCTGCCTCAGTAGTGCTCATGGCATGCAAGTGGTTACGGTGACACTGAAAAAACTCTTGTTTTGCTCCCTGCCAACTTTGACCAGCACAATAAATTTTAACTGAAAGTTGCCAAACTGATACTAATATAAGGAGAGGAAATAGCCTGTGATATCTAAAGGAAATATGCCAAATTATGGAATCACATTTTTTAAACATTTGATCTATAATTTTGCCTTATCCTTGCTATATGTGTCTATCGACAAAATGACTTTTTCCCCTTCTGACAGACTTTATTCTTCAGTCTCCTTGAAAACTCCAGCATGAGCTGTATAAGCAGAAAATATGCTGCCTCAGCATGAATTTATCCTGTTTGTTTTGTGGACAGTTTGGGGCCCAAGCTTGACTGTGCCTGGTTCACAGATAGGTACCTCTGTTCCCCGATTTCAAAAGCATTAAAGTTCTCTTTTGGGGAAATCATGTCAAAAGCATTTCCTGTCCTTTTAAATCCCATGTGCGTTTGTCCTTGGTGGCTGACCTCAAGAGCTGCAAATTTGCTGAAGGAAAATGCTATCATGTCTAAAATGAAAGAACGAGAGAAAACAGAGGGCAGCAAAGACGTGACCTGAATGGAATTAGAGAAATGAAAGGGAAACATGGAAGGTGGGAAGAAGTGAAAGAGGGAAAAGGACAGCCAGGACATGCTCCAAATGCCAGTAGCACTGAGGCAGGGGGAGGGTGCTGGCAGGTGAGGATAGAGGCCAGTCAGCTTGGGCACAGGGCAGGAGAAAGTCCCAGAGAAAGGACCTGGGTGAAGATCAATGGAAGCAGCCTGAGCCTGACAGCACCAAAGCATCCTGTGAGCCAGCAGCTACCCCAGCCCATCCATGGCCTGGAAAGCTGATACTCCCAAATGGCTGCTTTCTTGCTGCTGGGAACTTCTCCAAAAACCAGATCTATGCCACTCTCCTCCCCAAGCCTGGGGGATAGGATAAGGCTGCGCTAAATTGGACCAGAGATTCCCACGGAGGTGAGAGCGTGCTGCAGGGCCAATGCTGCAGCTGTGTCTCAGCACGATGTGGCATCACAGCATGCTCCTGCTCACTGCCAAAACCTGTCTTTAGGGCTACAGGGTGACTTTACTGCCTTCAAAAACAAAACAACCCCACATCTTGCCATTACTCGTGTAAGCAACTTGAGTTAATATTGTATTTTTTCCCCTCTCATTTAGCAAGAATAATCTTCCTGTCTATGGGAAAAAAAATTAAGGGGGGAAACACTGACAGAGGACTGCAAAAAAAAGAGAGAAAATCAGATAAGAAAGAAGAAGAAATGGTGGATAAATTAACACCAGTCATAACTGAATTTGCCCCTGTGGATTTATGCTTGTGATTAATATATCCCAATGAGATACTTGAGAGGGAAAGAGTAATCAATAACCACAAGTCATACACTTTGGCAGGTGGTGACCAGAGTCTGGATGAAAGCAGAATTTTGTCTCTAACTTTGACAGCCTCCTCAATCTTGGTCAAGACAGGGCAGGAGAGAATGCCTCATCTCCTGATGGCAGGATATAATGCTGAAAGGATCACTGAGTCCTTGCTAGGCAAGCCCTAGGCTGTGCTATTAATCAGAACTGAGGAGAGCCCTTACATCAGGACCAGCCTCTGGTGCTGAGAAGGGCTTCACCACTTCTTCAGTGGACAGGGGTGATGCAAGAACAAGGAGATTTCTATCCACTGTCCCCAAGCAGCCACAACAGATGTGTGTGCAGCTATCATCTTCCAGCTCCTTAGGTGATCCTGGTGAAAGACCAGCCTAAGAAGTCTGGGCTGACCAGGCAGATGACAATTGCAGAAGTGCAACCTCTCACTGCTTTCTAGGGCTAAATGAACTCTCAGGTCAGATGCTCATTAGCACAGTGAGAAGGAGCCTGATGGGCTGTGCTAACCCAGACATTGATGTAATGGTGGGCAGAAGTGCTCCTCCACCATGTGACCCAATCTGGGCACCGCATGGGGTATCGGTAATAAGGCCTGGTAAGGAGAAAGGGAGATATTACAACAGTCATCTCATCAATCCCC